CCAATCAGCCCATTCACAAAAATGTTGAGCTATAGAATTTCCTGACAACAATCTGCACGTGTGATTTCCTTCTATTGTAATGAACGCTAAGAAGCATTTTTTTTTTGGAGGCATAGAAATTAAGACAAAAGAAAGATAGCATTTTGCACAAAATCTCCACTCACTCACCCTCTGCTGTCTGCCTGGTGAAGCCCTGTTCATCTTTCAAAACCCACCTCCTGCATTATCCCCTCATCCTCCTCTGCGATCCATCGAGTTGATTATTCCATCTGTGCTTTCCTTGCATCTTCCGTTATGTTGCACAATAAGTTTTCCATCTTTTCTCTCCCCTGTGAATCATAAGATCACTGAGGCAGGCCAGGTATTATTACCTGTGCTTGTCCCAGGACCAAGCACACGGAAGAACTTCAGTATTTGGTGAAAGATTAAATGATATTTTAATTTCTCCAAAAGATATATGATATAACATACATTTCCTTTTTAAGTCTTTATTTTTCTCTCTTTTAAAAATTGTACAAAATAATGGGCTTCATTATGCTATTTTTCTATACATGTAGATCCAAAAAAATATACTTCCTAAGAAAATGGATGTACATTAATTGAGTAACAGATCAAATATGTATTTTCTTTTTTAACCTGATAAATAAATTATACTTTGCAAGAGGGGAGGGAGAAGAAAAAAAGTGACAAAGCATTAAAAAAGATACTTTAAAGAAAGCTAGAAAATAAACCATGGTAATTTTTTGGAGAGCGAGGGAATGGTTTGCATACAAGTAATATGTTATTGAGTAGCTTAACAAAAATGATACCTATACCATGGCAAAATCTGGATAAAAGTAGAAAAATGGAAGCCACTATAGATATCAAACCCAAACCCCTTCCCTTTTGGTAGCATGCAGACCAAAGACTTAGAAAATTGGCTAAACTTCACTTACCACATTTGGTATTTTGTCATCACTTAACATAATTGACTTTTTACAGCATAGACACTTGCCCAGACCGCCAGGCCAAGTGCTATGGCAATAAAAGAAAAAGTTCCAGATCTGAGCAGGTGCGATGAAATCATTCTTACATGAATTGCCACAAGCACTCAACTCGCATGATTTCCATTGATGTCAGGGTGAAATTCCATTACATATCATTTCCCGTTAGCACCGGAGACGTGCACACTCTTGTCGAAGTCTGGCTCCACCACGTTTGCTGTTGTTGCCCACACAGCATTTTATTCATACCTCTTGGAGGGCAATTTTCATCTTATGTTCTGGCTAACTGTATGGGTTGCTAGCCTCTAATACATGGGTCAGCAAACTATGATCTGCAAGCCAAGTCAGACTCATTGCCTGTTTTTCTAAACACAGTTGTGTTGGAACACAGCCACGCTCATTCCTTTAAGCATTGACTATGATTGCTTTTGCATTTCAGTGGTGGAGCAGAAGATCTGCAATAGAGATCCACTGGCCTGCAGAACCAAAAATGCTTACCACCCGGCCCCCTATAGAAAAAGCTCACTCACCCTTGTTCTAATGTATTTAGAGGTCCTTATGGGAAAAAACATATTTTATTCTTTTTGGTTTCAGCCCACATGTCAGTATATCCGATGGAGTCAGTGAATGCTTGAGTCCTACTGTGTGCTGGGCAGTATTCTAGGCACTGGTGATACATCCCCCAAAGATCAAAGCAAAATCTGTCTTCTGCACTCTTATTCCAGTGCTGGAGACAATGGAGAGAGACAGTGATGAACAAAGTAGTACAATATTTGGACGATAAATGTTACCCAGAATAAACTGAGACTGAAGAAGGAGTATGGTGATGGTTGGGTGGTCATAGTAGCATAGGAGAATTGATTTTATGTGGGTTCAGAGAAGGTGACACTATAGCAGAGTCATGCAGATACCAAAGACTATGTGCGTGTGAGCAGAGGATGGGACACGTTTGGCATGTTTGAGGACTCTCAAGAAGGCCATGTGCCCAGGGCAGGGCAGGCAAGGGGTAGCGTGGGCGGAGATGAGCTCACTGTCTGAGTCTGTTTTCTAGGGCTGGTTTTATTCTGTTGAGTTTTTCTTTGACTGAGGTGGGAAGCCCCTGGAGAGCACAGCGGAGGAGAGACAGGATCGGTCATGTCTTGGCAGGCTTTTGGGTTCTGAGTGGAGGACAGACTGTAGGTGAGGGACAAAAGTGAAGAAGCCAAGAAACCATTTAGAAAGGTCTTGTGATAACCCAGGTACCAGATGGCCTATGATGATAGAGATGGGGTGATGAGAACGCCAGATTCTGGCTTCTTGAGCTGGCTCCAGTGCCTGGCATGCAGTAAGCATTTCTTAAATGGATGAATAAAATGCTAGTATTTCTATTTGGGTCCACAATGGAATCACCCGTGGAGAGTCTCACAGTGCTGCTCAAGGATGGAATCCTGGCATTTGCACTAAAATTACGATCATTTCCTTTGGGTATATGCTCAGTAGTGGATTGTATGGTGGTTGTATTTCCAGTTCCTTGAAGAACCTCCACACTGGTTTCCCGTGTACTGAATTACAATACTGTACAAATATGCACAAATACTGTATGCCAGTTAAAAGTTAGGTTAAAAATGAAAGCTGGGAGTGGTGATACATGTATGTAGTCCCAGCACTTGGGAGGTGGAGGTAGGAGGATGACAAGTTCAAGGACAGCCTGAGCTACATAGCGAGCTTGAGGTCAGCCCCAGATACATAGCGACAAACTGTCTCTAAATTAATTAATTGATAAGATAAAATAGAAAGAACCATATTCATCCTTGCCCTTCAGAGTCTGATGCGCTCCTGCCAGTAAGTGTGCTTATTTCACATGAGAACAAAGCAGAGCGAGAGGACTACCATTTTCCTTTAATTTCTATGCTTTTTTTTTCTTTTTTGGTGATATTGGGGTTTGAACTCAGAGCTTCATGCTTTCTGGGTAAGCGCTCTACCACTTGAGCCACTCCGCCAGTCCTTTTTGTGTTGGGTCTCTCGAACTATTTACCTGGGACTGGCTTCAAACGAGGATCCTCCTGATCTCTGCCTCCTGAGTAGCTAGGATTGCAGGTGTGAGCCACTGGTGCCTGGCTAGTTTCTATACTTCTGATGGGAAAGAGAAGACCTTTGATTCACAGATCACTCTTTTTCCATAATTAACCAAAAAATTATGTTTAATAGGTAAAAAAAAAAAAAAAACCTTTCCATTTTTTCCCCAGCTGTTTACAGGAAAGATTGATGGGGACCAAGTGAGGAAGATTACATTTCTTACAAGAGTAGCCCTTGGGTTTCCATTGCAGGTTGTGGAAAGATGAGGGAGCTTTATGCCCCATGATAGCTACACCTTTATTCATTCTTGTGTAGGAAATGTGAGCGAATGCTTGTAGGTTTTTCTTAAGCTAGGCTTTTATGAAGCTAGTAGCTCTTTTAATTTTTAGCAGGCTCAGGAAATACTTTACACTTCCAATGATCACTTGCTATTCTGTCGGTAGCGAGATGAGTATTCACTTTGCAAAGCACTACAAGATCTCTGGGAGGGAGGGTCTTTCAGACAGGGTGAGGGTTTTCTAGAAATTGTGAATTTTGTAAATAAGCGGAGGTGTGAATACAAATGACTGCTTGTCAGAATCACTAAACATAGCCTTGGAAGTGCAGCCTTCCCATAAATCCGGCTGAGACCCCCCCCCACACCGTGAGTGATTTGCACCTCCCTCCCGACGACTGGGTGAACTGCACTATTCTCTGATTCCATAGCCCTGTGCTAATGGCCTTGAAAGGGAGAAGGTTCAAAGAGGCTTGGTTCCCAGGCCTGCTAATGAGCATGAGGCCTCTTCACCTTAATGAACCAAGGCTTGTGTGGGATTTTTTGCCCTCCCCTTTTGAAGGGCAGGCCAGCAGGAGTTCACAAAAGCAGCAAGGTCTTTATAGCAAGGGAGCGTGCAGCTGGGCCACCCGAAGGTGGCCTGGAGGGGAGCGACAAAGCTGGCAGACGTCATGCCTGGGCTAGAATGGCTGTGAGTATGAGGCGTGACCTACTACCAGCCTGGCCTGTTGCTGGTGACAGTGACAACCCTGTGGTCCTTTAGCAGTCTTTGTAAGCCTCTTTAAATTGCTTCTTAAATGTATTAATTATTAGAACTTACCAAATGAAGATGATAACCACCCAAATCCTTGCTCTGAATAAACTAAATTGTTGTTCTAAATATTAGCCATTAGCACCCAAGCTCACTGTAGCCACCCCAAAGACCCCCAGATATTTTTTCTACTTCTTTCTTGCCACCCATGTCCCACTGCTAGATTAAACAATAGAATTAATCAGCAGAGTAGCAAACACATGCCAGAGATACTGTCTGTGTCACCATCACCTTTGTGGAAGCCAGTGCTTTCTCTCAGGAGTGTACCATGGACAATGACATCCCATATTTAAGCACGATTGTTTCTCCTGAAATCTATATGCATTTGATTTCGTGTCTGGCTAATGCCCATTTTTATGGCGACTGCCCCCTCTGCTATTTGAAAGCCTGGCTTGGTATTGCGGAGTAAAAGTCTTTACAACCCATCTACATGAGTTTGTAAGAGCATCCAGTCACAGTTACAAATCACTGCAGTTCATGAAGGGCTATGCCTACGTTTTCATTTTCAACCCAAGGGAAATCCCAGCTGTGGCAGAAGATTATTCTGATTAAGTCCAAATTATAGAAATTACAGTTTCAATTACCTGCCAGTTTAGAGTGAGGCCTTTGAAAAACCAATATTGCCCAAAAGGAAGACAGAGAAAAAAAAAAAAAAACCACCACTTTCAGCAACTGAAACTTCGAGGGAAACATTGGCTGTTTTTGTTTTTTTTTTTTTACTCCTTTGCCCCCAGGGAACAGAGAGAACTGTTTGGAATGTACACACATTTGCCCTTCTACGACCTGAGTTTGGAATTATTCTGCAATGCACTGAAAGCTGACAGCCCCCCATGGCTGACCCCCTCGTGCCTAATCAAATCTTACGTTCTGTTTCCAGATAGCTGATCAGCTTCCTTGGATTTTGCTGATGACACCAGAGAGCTTTGCCTGAAGATGGAAACGCTGGAGTCGGAGCTGACCTGCCCTATTTGTCTGGAGCTCTTTGAAGACCCTCTCCTGCTGCCCTGCGCACACAGCCTCTGCTTCAACTGCGCCCACCGCATCCTGGTGTCGCACTGTGCCACCAACGAGCCTGTGGAGTCCATCAGCGCCTTCCAGTGCCCCACCTGCCGGCATGTCATCACGCTCAGCCAGCGAGGTCTAGACGGGCTCAAGCGCAACGTCACCCTGCAGAACATCATCGACAGGTTCCAGAAAGCATCAGTGAGCGGGCCCAACTCCCCCAGCGAGACCCGCCGGGAGCGGGCCTTTGACGCCAACACCATGTCCTCTGCCGAGAAGGTCCTCTGCCAGTTCTGTGACCAGGATCCTGCCCAGGACGCTGTGAAGACCTGTGTCACTTGCGAAGTGTCCTACTGTGACGAGTGCCTGAAAGCCACTCACCCGAACAAGAAGCCCTTTACAGGCCATCGTCTGATTGAGCCAATCCCGGACTCGCACATCCGGGGGCTGATGTGCCTGGAACATGAGGATGAGAAGGTGAATATGTACTGTGTGACCGATGACCAGTTAATCTGTGCCTTGTGTAAACTGGTTGGGCGGCACCGCGATCATCAGGTGGCAGCTTTGAGTGAGCGCTATGACAAATTGAAGGTTAGTCCGATCCGCCTTAAGCCAACTCCTTTCTGCCAGCAAATGTCACGGAATAAGAAGTGTATTCACTGCTAGCTACATGGCAGGTGAAGGTTTTCTCTTCACCTTTGTTATCTGATTAGTGGGAGCATGTTTTTGGCAGCCTAGAAGCGTTTCACAATACCCATATCTTGTACAATTGACTGCTGCTTATAAGTTTAGCGTTGTCAAGGTGAGGGCGAAGTCTGTAACTCTGGATTGTTTTCAATCCTTGCAGTTTTTCTGGATCATTTGCAATCCCTGCAGTTCTTGCAAAAAGAATGCTGCCTCTCTCCAAGAGAGAAGGAGAGAGATGGGGGGGGGGTGGGAAATGAAGGCAAGAAGAAATGGCAGATAAAATCTAACTGTGGACATTGGGGGGCATTTATTTTCTTCACTCACCCAGGAAAATGAATTCACTCCCATTGTACCTGTATCTAGTTACTGCACAAACAAAAGACCAGCAGGAGGAATGCCTGTAGCAAATCTGGGATTTTAAGGGACACGTGACCTTTGCTTCCTTGTGTAAATGATATGTGGCTTATTGGTGAACTATGTTCTGACAATCTCGGGTTTCACAAAAGAATTCCTTTCCGTGTAGGCTTCTTATTCTGTCAGGTTCTAAGCAAGATTGTTTGAACTTTACGTTTATCATTAAATTATTAGCCTCATTCAGCCTTGGGGGATAATAATTAATATGCCTATATGTCAAATTAAAAAGAAACACTCTCTAAATATGGTTAGAAAGCACTAGGGAAGAAATTAAAAAGCTGTCTCCAGACATCTGTTCAACTTCAGGAGATGGTGAGGCTAATTATTGCAAACTCAGCTGAGAGAGTTACAGTGAGATACTATGTTTCCTAGCTAATTTTAGATCACAAGACACCAATTAGAAGGGAAGGAAGTATAAACTAAAAGCTCTAAGTAAATATATACTGGAGTCCTTTCTCTCAGGCAAAACACATACCAAGTTGTTGAGCAAACAAAACGAATCACATGATTCAGAGTATTGTCACCCAGAGAACATGGTCACCTTTAACAAATGGTTCCTATCACTTCTCCTTAGCACTAGTGGGTGGTTGTGTTTACTTGGGTCTCATAGTTCATTTTGTGGCTGTGGGATTAACGGACCACATCTGGGATTCAGCTTTGCTGTTTCTTGACATGCTAAGGGAAGTTGACATGCTAAAGTGAATCCCTGCTTCGAAATGTCACTCAGGCAGCAAATATATTACCTGGGCAGCCGGCCTCACTTCAAGTGTCCAAAGAGTGGCTGGCACAAATCCACCTTTAAACCGCGTAGAGGAAGGATTTAGGTGGTGTGGACAAGGGAAGAAAGGTGCCAACTTGTTTTGTGTATGTTGTGCAGTAGTAGCAAAGAAAAGTACCATGAAAGTGAATGAAAGAAGAGGAAACGCCAATGCCTGCAGAAATTGTGCCTTTAGAGTCGATTCTTCAGAAACCCATATGGCTGTCAATTTTTCAAAGCCAAAGTGATCTTTATAGCCTCTTTTCTTGTCGTTGGGAAGGGAGGGGTTCAGGAGGATTGAGCAGAGATGTTTGATCTTCATTTTCCAGACGTCAATATGCCAGATCTATTTTTCCTTCATCGAAAGACTGTTCGTTTGATTGGATTCATGGTTGTTTGTTAAAACATCACAATGACAATGCCCCCTATTCAACGACTCCCAGACTTGATATTTAAATCTGGTAATCAAGCTGTGATTATTACTTGTGTGCTGTCACAGCACAGTTATTAATTATTTATATAACGTCTTTAAGTGTATGAGGAGATAAGATACTGTCTTGCTCTAGCCCTTTTGGTGATGAAAATGAAAGTCTTCAGTCATCAACCCTGATACTTATCTAATCAAGTCAGTGGTTTGGGTTATCTGTCATTGGAACTGTCACAGGGAGGGTTGGACAACTAACAGTGTAGTGTCTTTTATTTTCTAATTACACAAATATGAGCGTGTAGACAGTATCCAGTGTACCAAAACACATTTCCAGCTGTCCAACAAAATTTGCTTATGAGCAATTATTTACAGCCACTGAACACAATGTGCGGGTGTGCTTTTGAATAAATAATATACTAGCATAGCAGGTTTGTTCTGAAACATGCCACTTACGTTAGAACGAAAAAAATCAGAAGAATATAAGACATTTAGGTGTCTGTGAGATTTCCGTTATCTCACATTTGTGAACACGTGTACTTCCTTGTTTTGTTAAACCTTAAGTACAATGGAAATACTGATTTTTGAAGAAAGGAGAAAGGATCAAACCAAGGGAGTGTGTGTTTGTTAATTATTACTTTGCTCTGAAAAAGGAACTGTGCTCTGGACATTTATTTTTCAGTAGCTCTGGCATCTTATATTGATACAGATTTTTGATAAAGTTTGTGATAAAGTATGGAGAAATTTGTGGATGCCTTCATTGATACAGTCAGTGATAGGCTTGCTTTACTGTGTGAATCTGTAAGGACCCAGATACCTCTGCTTGAAAATACATTTGTCCTTCTGTTAACAGAAGTGCATTACACGAAGAGGAGGATTCTGTAAGGGCTACAAAGAATAATTATTTCTTTCAGTAACACTGAATTTGGGGGGACATTTTAAGTTATATCAGATCTCAGTATAAGAGATGTATATTTATATAAAGAAATGGAACACAGTTTTTTATACAACAATCTTTTACCTAAGCGTAAGAGAAAAAAGACGTAAAAATTCCAACATGTAGAATTCATGCAAATAAAATCTTCCACATCATTTGTAATAGTGTCATGTCAGTAATCTCACACTTTTAGAGACTCTGAATTGAGAAGGCACTCAGGAAATATTGAAGCAAGGAGCAAATTAAACTAGCATTTCCTGAACTCTATTTTAAGATAATAAAAGTCATCTTGCCAATGCAAAGTCTGTGAATGGAACATACCACTTTTTTTTTATAAAAATAGGATTTTAATTGAATTTTAAGAAGACTCTCAATCCTCCAAACTTGGATTAAATTTTTGATTTGTGGACCACATAACTAACATTTAAAGGCTTTAATATAACGCATTCCAGAGTTTTCAAGGAATTGCAATGCCGTAATTCCTCTTTTTCTGTTCCAACATACCACGTTGGAGCTCTTGTTTCTTTTCTCTAGTTCCACCTATAAAAATATACCAACTGAAAAAAGTTGACCTTTCCTTGCCCTTCTCTTTCAGCTTTGCCCCTCCAAATGAGCTGAAAGTGATGGTCTAAGTGCGGCTTTGCTGTGCTAACTCTGAGGGAGCTGTGGGAGGTTGTTGGGGTAACATGACATGGGTCATCCCATTGTAACTTTTCAATAGTTGGACTGAAAGTTCCATTTAAAGCCTTCCTTGTGTCGCTCTGCCATCCAGAGCTGAAGATAGGAAATTTTACTCTTAGGTTTAGTTTATAGAGTGTAAGGTTCTTTATTTTTGAAATTCTTCCCCAGTTTATAATAAAGTTGTAAATAGATACTATGCTAGACTTTTTTCCTTAAGAAATGGTAGTAGGGATTGTGTGTGTGTGTGTGTGTGTGTGAGATATGGAGGCAAATTCAAGCAGCTAGTGTTTCCCTTAGGGATGGTTCATTCTGCAGACATGAGAGATGGCAAAACACATAGCAGTGATAACTACATTGCTATTACCTGAAATATTTGGACTATTTCTTGAATGTTTCATAAATGAGCGGAAGTCATTTTGGACTTGGTATATATCCTTTACAAGACGATTTTTTTCTTGAAGGTTTTTTTGAAGTGCCAAACATATGTATTTTTAAATGTATCTTTCCATTTACTAATTTATGAACCTTCTTATATATGGTCACATTTACAGATGCAGCATTATTTATTAAATATTATAATAAATTTGTCTTCAAATTTTCCATATGCTCAGTAATTGTTTTATTCTGTTAAATCAATTAATAACTAGGAGAAGTATAATTAAGCTGCGCACTAAGTAAAAATTTCATGTACTGCTCATCACACTCTTATTTTTCTTGCTTTAGGACTTTTTTGTGATATTGGGGATTTGAACTCAAGGCCTTACACTTGATAGACAAGCACTCTGTCACTTGAGCCACACCATCCAGCCCTTTCTTGCTTTAGATATTTTTCAAGTAGGGCTTCACCTTTTTTCTCTGGAGCTGGCCTTGGACCACAATCCTCCTATCTATGCCTCCTGTGCAGCTGGGATTGCAGGTGTGTACCACCATACCTGACTGCTTTAGGACTTCTAAACCCATCTTATTAAGAATGTACAAGTTCGTCTAGATTTTTTAAGAGGTCATGAAAAGTTACTATATGTTTAGTAAGGAAAGGTAATATGAACAGAAACAGTCACCCCTTTCATGACCTTAGAGTCTAGTAGGAAATTCTAGCAGCCACATTTTTTCTCTGTTGATGATGGAGGAGGTACAATGATGCTAACCCCAGCCTGCAATGGAGAAAGGCTTCCCAGAAAAAGGGCAATTTCACCTACTATTTCCAAGCCTTGTATCTGAAAACAATGTGAAGTTTACTAGATGTCTGTAAAAACTGTGTATCAATCATTCCATTTTTACTTTTGAGCACATGCGACATCCTTTGTGTAACCCTGTGTAGTTTTTTTCAAAATGGTTCACAATAATTCCAGGTTAGATTTTAATCTAAAATACAGATATGCCTTGTGATGCTTCATCAGGTGGCATGTGAAGGAGTGAGGCCTGTGTCTTCTAACATGTTTTGGCTGTATGGGGGTCTCACCAGTTCCACGTGACTCAACATGCTGTTCTGTTTGCGCTTATTTTCTGACAATTTTTAGTCTGCAATGCATATATTTTTAAATATTCCCATGTGATAAGAATAGGGCTTTCAAATATTGGTAAAACATATTAAAACTATTTAACTTTGTTAGGTTTGATTTAAAAATTTCTAATAGAGTGACTTTTCACTCTCCAGCATCTCCAGGGATGTGTTCTTAATGGGAAACTCAAGA